CAATGGTCCCTTCTGGCCTTGGTATCTATAAAAAGATCTCGGGGGGGGGGGGAAGGGAGGAGAGAGAGAGAGAGAGAGAGAGAGAGAGACGGGCCATGGTTTATTTGTCGTGGTGTATTTCCCAGCATGTGGGGTGGGTGCTGGGCAGTGAGATGAGGCTGGTTTGTGATCATGTCTGTCCAGGATTTCTCTCTTCCCCCTTCTCCCTTCTCCTCTTTCCATCGTGGCCTCTCCCTCTGCACTGACCCCTCTGCCTGTGTTCTAGATCCCCCGCCTGCCCCCACGCTCTCTCTGGACCCCGAGTACACAGTGTATCTCCCAGGGGAGCGGGTTACCCTCACGTGCTCGGCTCCTGGGAGTGAGCTGGATTGGAGATACAGATTCTTCTATCAAGGGCAGCAGGACCCCAGCGTAGTCCAACCCCCGAATGAAGGTGCCCGGCTGGAGCTCACAGCTGAGAAGGGAAATGCTGGGACATACACCTGTGCGTACTGGAGACAGGAATCCTATCGAGAGATCTCATCTAGGAACAGCAGCTCCGTCTCCATCCCAGTGACAGGTGAGCCCCTGTTTTTCCTGCTGTTTGATGTGAGAGTCTCTAGGGATCTGATCCCACCCTGTGACAGAGCCTCAGGTGCGGTGCTCTAGAGCCGCTCTGGAGCAGTGCCTGGGAGGGCCCCTTCCATGTGTCAGCCCCCGTAGGGTCACAGCTTCACTAGGGGCCATTTGTCTGCAGCACCTCCTGGGACTGAACCTTGGAGCCTTCAGCACTCCTGGGTCACGCCTCGAGCTCCCCACAGCGACACCATCTCATTGCACACCTGAGACAGACACTTGCACACCCAAAGGGAGCAACGCGCCCCCACTTTCTTTAAACTGCAATGACTCTCAGCGAGTGCGGTAACAGCAGGAGGATTATTGGCTATTTCGGAACCAGCGTAGAAAGTCCTTAGTTACCGTCGAGAACAGAAAGTTACAGCAAAGTCCATCTGGGTCAGTCCACATCAGCCACACCCAATATCTGTGTCTCTATAAAGAGTAAACGTTCCCCATGCAGCACATAGGGGAAACTGAGGCATGCACCATATTAATAGAAAATTGACATAGAGTCACACACCCCAACACCTCAGCTTTACTCCCTGCCTCTAGTCAAGGCCACTCCCCGCATCTCAGACACTCTGTGGTGGGTACGGGGGTCCCACCTGATCAGCAAAGAATAAGCACTGAGAGGGCACTGCTGTGGGGTAGCTCCAGCACTGGGGTCCTAGGTGGGCACTGCTCGAGGGAAGCTCACAGCACTGGAGACCTGGCTGGGCACTGTCAGGGCCACCCACTGTGAATCTTCATCCCTGCAGCTGCCTGGATTCCTCAGTCATGATTTCTATCAGGAGAGGGATTGGTTACTGTCATGTTACCCTGACCCCCTGCTGGCACCAATATGCCAGGATTCTCTACTGCCTTTGTGTATCAGAGGGGAAGGTGCTACCCTGGGGTGCTCGGCATTTGGGGGTGAAATCACCATAGGATACAAATTCTTCTCTCAAAGCAGGGATTTGGTCTCTGAAGAGGTCCCTGGTCCCAGTGGAGTGACCGGCTGATGGTCACAGCTGAGACAGAGACCACCCGTCCCATACCCCTGCTGTGCACTGGGCAACCCAGTCCAGCCAGCGGATCCCACACAGAGTGTCCCTGCCTCCTGCTGGGAAACATGTGAGAACTGTGCAGGGTTGGGGCTCATTGAGATACAGGGGAGCAGTGAGAGGAAACGCGGTGGGTGGAAAAACTCCCCCCTCCCTTCCCCACATCCACCCTGGCTTCCTCATTTCTGTGCAGTACTTTCTAGCTACGGCAAGGCAGGTCTGATGGTCGGCTGATGGGTTCTCCCCCCTCTTCTGCCTCTGCCCCCAGAATGGAGAAAATGGGGTGAATAACCTGATGGGTACATCGGGTTGCAGGTCGATTCCGTACTGGGTGCAGTGTGAAGGTGTCTAGGGCTGAAATTTCCTCTTCTATTGGGTTGCGGTATGATGAGGGGGTGCAGCGTGGTGCTATGTTGGGGTGCAGTGTAATATTGGAGTGTGGTGTTGTCAAGGCTGGATCCCCACTTTGAACTTTAGGGTACAAATGTAGGGGCCTGCATGAAAAACTTCTA